CTAAAGCAAGAATATGTAAACAAAGAAAAATAAAAGCAGGTGCCAAGCAACAGCAATGCATTTAAAATGGTTGACAATAGTTTTATTAGTGCAATGAATGAATGAAATCTGCGTAGGAGCCAAGTGGCCCATTAGGCCGGCGCTTATCTGTGGTTTCTGTATCATGAAGCGACTAGAATTATTCCTACTCCCCCCTGGATGGGATGCTAGTCCATTAAATTCACCGCCAGCATTAAATTCGCCAGTACTTATTTATACACCTGAGTGGATTGGAGAGAGGCATTGTCTTGCCTAAGAACACAACACAATGTCTTTGGCCAGGTCTTTGGCCAGGGCTCGAGCCCGGACCGCTCGATCCGGAGGCGAGCGCACTAACCATGAAGCTACTACGCCTCCACAATGAATGAACGAGGATTTTTGTGATAAGTCGAGTCCAAACACCCGCGAGAAGAGTCGCTTCGATAGTCGGGACATGCTTTCCTCTTTCCCGATTTATTTAGAAAAGATCAAAGCGACTTTGCTCGCAGGGTGAAGTCCTAAGGACAGAAACATCGACATCAGAATGGCCCTCGACTCGCTAGGGGAGACGTAAGATAAATGGGGNTAGAATTATTCCTACTCCCCCCTGGATGGGATGCTAGTCCATTAAATTCACCGCCAGCATTAAATTCGCCGGTACTTATTTATACACCTGAGTGGACTGGAGAGAGCCATTGTGAGAGAGGCATTGTCTTGCCTAAGAACACAACACAATGTCTTTGGCCAGGGCTCGAGCCCGGACCGCTCGATCCGGAGGCGAGCGCACTAACCATGAGGCTACTACGCCTCCACAATGAATGAACGAGGATTTTTGTGATAAGTCGAGTCCAAACACCCCGCGAGAAGAGTCGCTTCGATAGTCGGGACATTCTTTCCTATTTCCCGATTTATTTAGAAAAGATCAAAGCGACTTTGCTCGCAGGGTGAAGTCCTAAGGACAGAAACATCGACATCAGAATGGCCCTCGACTCGCTAGGGGAGACGTAAGATAAATGGGGATTTTGTCTCATTTGATAGAAATTAAGTTGATTATAGTTATTTATTTACACTCGGTTCTTTGTTAGAACCCATTACTTAATCAGTAGTTACAATAAAAACAACTCAAGTGTTTCACCTAAACAAGCGTAATGATTATTAAAGAATTGGTTCATGCTTAGCG